CGTGAATTCTATCTTCTTGGACACATTTCTAGCACACAAAGAAACATAAATCAAAAATCAAGAAGTACCTTGGCTCTCTCTTCTTCATTTGTATCCATTATATAAGCCATATACCTAGCATAGAGAACAATAACAAGTTTATAAAAACGGAAACTTAGAGCAAAAGCATTCCTTATCAGTTCAAATTAATCAAAACCACTCACCAGCTTTCTCTACTTTTTTCTTTTGCTTCCTTTTCATACTTTTGGATCTGTCGGTCGTCCACCTGACCACTAAGGAAGAGAATTTGTCCTCCAATTGTAGACTTTCCAGCATCTACAATTGAAAAAGTGACCGTGTAAAGATTAAATCAAAAAGTTAAAAACACAAACCGACTGAAACACTGTCTACACAATGCAATTTTCTTATAATCTAAATTGCAACAAACGATTTATCTAGGATGAAAGTAGAGCTGATGAAAAGATTTAACAAGTAGATAACCATACCAACATGGCCAATGAACACCACATTCAAGTGTCTTTTCTTGTTTGCTTCTGCCACTTCTTCAGCTTCCTCTTTGGCAGCCTTGTCTTGGGCTGCCTTCTCTTTAGCTAAATTGGTTAAATATACAGGAGAGATAAATAAATATTCAGCCAGGTAACATGAACGTCGAATGATGAAAAGACTGTAGAATGAGAGATCTAAGAACCTTTCGCTGGGTTATGCACTGCATGGATCACTTCTTGATCATGATCCTCGGAAGCTGAAACCACCAATGACCAGCAAAAATAGATAAAAATCGCGAACCTCATATAAATTTAACTAACTGTCAAGAAAAATGAGATAGAAAGAAGGGAAAATAGAATATCTAGGAACCTAGTTGCTCATCAGGAACCGGTGCTGAATCTTCCACCTTGTCTTTCACGTCTGTAAAGCAAGGATAATACCAAGTATAAGAATCAAACACTCAATCTCATGCCAGCATAAACCTCCCTCAACCACTAGTTAATATCTTACGTATCTAACAGCCACAGTGAGAAAAAACTAGTGTGACAAAGAAAGTATATACAAAAAATGCGATGCTACAATGAACCTTCTTCGGCTGTATCCAATTTCTCAACTGCATCTGAGTTATGAGCTTCCGGAATAGCAACTCCGTTGTTTTCGTCTGCATATATCAAACACTAACATTTAACACCATGCGAAACAAGGAAAAGATTGTTAAGCTTGACATCTTCAAGAATCACCTGCCGAATCAAGCTGTAATGCGCGGATGTCAGCCTCAAGATCTACATACAGTTTACTCAAGTTTTAGATAAGAATGTGAGATTCACTCAAGTTTTAGATAAGAATGATAAGAAAGCTAGGTCAGTTCTAAACAACACATTAAACTAAATCTAATCAGCTAAAATAAACCTAAATCCGATTAATAATTCTCACGCCGATATGTCTCCTTCCGATTTCAGATCAACTACCAAAGCAACGAATCCAAAGACTCTAAAAATCAACGATAGGTACACTTAAAATACAGATAAGGTCAGATCCGCCGTAAGCACGCAATAACAGACGAGAATCTAAATAGGAGAGAAGCAAGTATAAAGAGAGCTCGGAAAGCCTACCCATGGTGGATTGTTGTGATGAACGAAAGGGAAACTTCTCTCTCTAGGTTTTATCGCGTAAAGAAAGAAGAAGAAGAAGAAGCGCGTCACGGGATCCACCAAACGAAAACCACTGCCGCTTCTATGAGGCTGTAATTTTTGCCCAGGTGTAACTTGTTATATATTCCCATTTTACGTAATGAAATGGAATTTTCTTTTCTCATCTGAAACGTGTACAGTTTTCACTTTAAGCCTGTTACCAAGGCCCAATTCAAAATCTGGCCCAAATCTCTTCTTGAGAAAAATGTTTGCAAGAAGAAATATACAACATCTAAAGTCTAACAAATATTTATCTATATGGTTTGTAGCGACACAAATACATATTTGACCTATGTAATTTCAAAGACATCAAAATTTTTAGAGAAAATGACTAGAATAGACGTAAAAAATTTTTTATCATAAATATAGACCTTAACAATTAAAATAACCAATATATCACTTAAATGTTAAATATATATTTATATTATTGGGTTAATTAATTTTAGATTTTTTTCGTTTAGAGTTAAGGAGTGGAGTTTTGGGTACAGAGTTTCGAATTTTAAAAAATTAAAAAAACTTAAAATTTTCAAAATAAAAAGTGGTATTTTGATCATTTTAATTTTTGAAGTATATTTTTATGATAAAAACTTTAAAAAAGACTATTCGAGAGAATTGCCCAAATTTTTATTGTGTGATGAACTGGGGTTTATTGCCTATTAATAAAGTTTTATTGCGTGTTACAAAAATAAAAATAAAGTTTTATTGCTAATTTATTATTCATGATGATGCATCCCATCCAGCAATTTTAACAAGATTTTCTGCTATTCTAACACCAGTACATATATATAAACAAAGAAGATCTAATCCCTAACTTATATCGGTCTGCTGCAATAAGATTACTAAATGAAATGCTAATCATCAGAAATGAAATGTTCTTAACCATTTCATCAGATGAGTAATGAAAATGCCACCACACATGGACTTCAAAAGCCCATTTAGATAATAAAAAACCCATTAATAAATCTCATTACACAAGCCCAATAAAAGTAAAACCCTAAACCCATTTCATCGTCTCTCATAAAAACCTCCTTCTTCTCCTCCCCACGCCACATTTCCTCCGCATCTCCGCCTCCCCCTCGAAACCTCCAAACCCCACAGCAATGGCGGAAGGACTCGTCCTCAAGGGCACAATGCGTGCACACACCGACATGGTCACCGCAATCGCCACTCCCATCGACAACTCCGACACTATCGTCTCCTCCTCCCGCGACAAATCAATCATCGTCTGGAAACTCACCAAAGACGACAAATCCTACGGCGTCGCCCAGCGCCGCCTCACCGGCCACTCCCACTTCGTCGAGGACGTGGTCCTCTCCTCCGACGGCCAATTCGCCCTCTCCGGCTCCTGGGACGGGGAGCTCCGCCTCTGGGACCTCGCCTCCGGCGTCTCCACTCGCCGTTTCGTCGGACACACCAAAGACGTCCTCTCGGTGGCATTCTCACTCGATAACCGTCAGATCGTCTCCGCCTCCCGTGACCGCACGATCAAGCTTTGGAACACGCTGGGGGAGTGCAAGTACACGATCGCCGAAGGGGGAGGCGAAGGGCATAGGGATTGGGTTAGTTGCGTTAGGTTTAGTCCGAATACGGTTACGCCGACGATTGTGTCGGCGTCGTGGGATAAGACGGTGAAAGTTTGGAACTTGGCGAATTGTAAGCTTAGGTCGACGCTCGCGGGGCATGGTGGGTATGTTAGTACGGTTGCTGTTTCGCCTGATGGGTCTTTGTGTGCGAGTGGAGGGAAAGATGGGGTTGTGTTGCTTTGGGATTTGTCGGAAGGGAAGAAGCTTTACTCGCTTGAGGCGAGCTCTGTGATTCACGCGCTTTGTTTTAGTCCGAATAGGTATTGGCTATGTGCGGCGACGGAGCAGGGGATTAAGATTTGGGATCTGGAGAGTAAGAGTGTTGTTGAGGATTTGAAGGTTGATCTTAAGGCTGAGGCTGAGAAGTCTGATGGGAGTGGTAGTGCTGCCACTAGAAGGAAGGTATAATAATACACTTATAAACTTCATTGCTACGGTTATTATGTTTGTGTGTTTATTAAGATTTAGTGTTAGTATTACTGACTGTTATTACGATTATAGTTGTATAGCAAAATTTTGATCTGGTACAGAAAATGTTGTTTGTTGAAATGAACAAACATATGATTCATTTTTTTGGTTGTTGGTATCATTTTATGTTTCATACATTGCATTTTCAATAGATTGTAGTATATTGTGGACTAGTCTTTATCGATATGTGAATGTGAATCATGTGGTTGTGAATGCATTGTCAACTTTAGACTAGCGCTTGAATGGTTTCTGAGTCTTCACGCCCACTCTTACATGAGAAAAAAGACTTGAACATTTTTTTGTGTTGATAAACGTGGATAGGTTAACTACTGCACCAGTCTGAACTGGAGTGCGGATGGATCCACCTTGTTCAGTGGATATACCGATGGAGTTATCAGAGTTTGGGGTATTGGCCGTTACTAGATATATCCCCTCTGTCTCCTTCCTTGGTTGTGTTTTTTATTCATCACTCTTTTTTGTTTTGTCAGAAAACTGGGATTTTGCAATAAATGTTTTGTTTTTATTTCGATTCTAGATTTGGATCTTATGATATCTTGCTGTTTGACGTTACTTTTGTTTTGTGACCATGTTTGATAAATCTATGAGCAAATGGTCGAATAGTGTAGTCACACGCTTTGTATTTTCTTATTAAAAAGCACTTGCAAGTTAAAACAGTAGACTTGTGTTAGTTATTACCTAGCAAGGATCATTTGATTATCCGGACCAGCATGCCCTCAAGGTTTCTTCGCTATTGGATGTTACTTCTCCACCAAACTCTAACAAAAACGATTGTTAAGTGTATCAAACGGTTGATGTGTCCCAAGCTTGATGATTCAGGAATCAAACAAGACTCTAAGAACATAAAGAAGGAAACATCTGAATGCACGGAAGAAAATATAGTTGAAAATTTATGATCATGTAAAACATTACGACAAAGAGAGTACGTGTAGCAAAACGTAGAGCCGGGAGTTTCGAAGTCAAAACAAGCTGTAGAGATGCAGAGGACAAGAAGGCCAAGATCAACAGAAAAGCAGTATATTATATTTCATTCATCGATTGTACTCGATGGATCTTTTTGGTTTTGAACCATATATTATACGCAAACCACTTCAGTATAACACAAAAGCACAAACATATTTGTATAATTGTATATATGCATCTACACATATAGATATATAGTCGAGAACCGGACTATCACAAAATATGGTTTAACTATAAAACCCATATTTCTTCGGAATAGACTCCCTCTTTTTTATTTTTGTTGACATATGCATCAGTGTCTGCGGGAAGCTGGCTCTTTTTGGGCGTTGAAGTAAACTGTCGCCACAGGTAAACCAAGATGGAGATATCCAGCGAACATTCGGGTGCTGAAGTTGGCTCGCGAAGTAGGCGGCTGCACCATCATACCTACCGGTGAGTTCTGCCGGAAAAGTACAAATATGTAACGGTGAATCCCCATCGGTGGTCTCGGATCCATATATGGCACTATCTCCTTCCCTGAAAGTTATTGTAAATTGGTAAAACATGCAAGTATACGTATCGATTTCAACGTTTCTCGTAGTGCTAAAAATAAAGTAAACTAAAGAAATTCATTATCGTTGCACTTGTGAACATGTTTATAATCTGGCGTTCTCTATTCACTCTGTGTTTTGTCGTGTTTAAGGTTTTTATATGATGATATGTGTCTTTAGTTGATATATATCAATGTACACGTACATACATACTTAGATGTTGACACCACACGTCTTATTGTGAGGCATAACTTGAAACGAAGGAAAATTACATAGTGACTCTTATTTGTGAGAGTCATGCATATTTGTGTTTGGACCAATCAGTATCGTGCAATACGGGAAATCCATTACATATCACACCAAAAGCACCACGTTGAAAAGATAATATGTTTAAATGAATAAAAATATATTTGTGTATCGGACTTTTCAATTAGATCTAAACACGTCTTCACGGTTATAATTAACCATTATCATATGTTATTAATGGCTTTCACACTAACGTCACTTTATTTCTAAACAAGAGTTTTATAAAAAAATGTAAAATTCATTCACATTGTAAGAAAAGTGTAGGAAAAAAAAAACTTTAATTAAAAATTCAAAAGCGAAAACTTAAATTCTGACTTCCATTTTCATACCTTGTGAGGGGTTGGTGCCTCCGGGGATATCCACGACAATCCTTAAACATAAGAAATAATTTTATTATTTTCATACGTTAATGATTATTATGTATATATAATTTGTAGAAAAACAGAAAATGTTATTGACTGTGTCACGCGTACGCACCAGTGGACCCATTCCCTCATGTTCGGCTCGCTCGGGCTAGGTGCGTCCGGGTCAGTCATCACCTGCATGCATCCAATATTTGCATTTAAAGACGGCCAATACAATTTCAACTCATGCAGACGCACCACTAATCGATCAGACACATCAAACTCAAATAGTTAAACATTATTGTAATCGAATTTTCAGCTAACCGCGATTAATCATTTAATTATGCACTAAAAATTCCTTGAAATTTATCTACGTATTGAATAAGTTAATATATATGTGAATGTACAGAAAATATGTATAATCATGAATCATGGTCATGGGGAAGTATGTTATGCATGTGTGCGTATATACAAATATATGTTTGAAACGTAAATGTAAGAGAAAGTGAGATTGCACATAAATGGATAGAAGTAAGAAGATGAAAATGCATACGAGAGTGTAAAGCTCATTGGAGTTGCCGGAAATGTTGACTCTGGGAGGGTTGACTGCAGTGGAGGGTTTGATCGGGCAACCGTTAGTTATGTGTTTGGGGCCAAAGTAGACAGACATGGTGGCGGTGGGGATGAACATATCCACCACATCTCCGATTACTCTTCCAAGCACCAAAGGATCAATAGAAGTTGCCATCGATCAACAGAGAGAGAGAGAGGAGTGGAGAGAAGAGAGAATCTCTTAGAAAGAATCGTTTGTTGTGTTCAGCGCATGTCCGAATTGGGATGGACACTCTGTAATGGTTTATATAGATAATACTTTATTTTAGAACAAAAATTATTTAATAAATCCATCGACAAATACAATGAATTCGAACAAATATTTACATGCAGTCCACTTTATTTCATGCGTGTTTGCTTTTATATTTATGTAAAAGTTCTTGTTTTATTTTCATTTTTATAAAATATCTACTGAAAGCTACAAACCCTTTTTTTGCTAACTTGCAAACCCAATTTTAATATGTTAAACAATGTGATATGTCAAGAAAACAAAGCAATGTTATATTTAACGATAGAACATTCACCACAATAACATAAACTATTAGTGGTTATATAGGTCTAAAGAAGAAGTTGTCCAAAAAAAAAAAAAATAGGTCTAAAGAAGAAATGTTATATTCTGAGTGCATTTTGTTTGGTAGCTTGTTGGAATTATTATAATATCCTCCAGTTCTTTAAAAACGTTTAATATTTAACGTAAGATATTTTGACCATTTTTATATTAATCAAATTTATTAAAACTGTTTAAACAATAATTTTAGGATTAGTTAAACTAATTTAAATTTATAGTTTTACTGATCTACTTTAATAAGTATTTTTTGGTTTAAGTGTAACATTTTATTTTATAAAATAGAAAAGTATTAATAATAAAATAGCTCAACATAATATTATGTAGCGTTATTTTGTCTTCATCGATGCAAATATTCGTGAATCCACTCGATTTTATTATTTATGATCACGTCCAAATTCATCTTTATTGTAGAAGAATGGCGTGATTAAAATCTAAGCGTTATAAACATTTGTTAAAAACTTTTTTTTATAAAAATAATTTAGAAGTCTATATATACCTCTAAAAACTTTAGGTACAAAAAACTTTAGTGTTTCAGTATGATGTTTCCATATCCCGTCGTATATCCACATCTGGTCATATGTACAAACCATCAGAGTTGATAGAAACCAATTATATCATTACGACTAAATTAACGTTGAATACCTTGAATATAATTTAATAACTAATACTTAACCTAGTGTTTCCACTTATAAGCCACAAAGAAAAAAGAAAGATAAGGGCTAAAAGAAACTTTGGACAGAAGACTTAAATTGAAATATTCTAATACATTTTTTATGATCATTTGAATTAGTTTTAATTTCTTGTTCTATTGATTTTAATTTTTTTTAAACAAATATATATATATATATATATATATATATATATATTTATTTTTTTTGGTTTTATTTATAAATTTTATATTCTAAATAAAAAGAATTAATAGTAATAATATATTATTTTAAGAAAATATTTTGATGCGTTATTTTGTTGTTAACGATACAAATATTACGAGAATCCACTCGTGTCATGTAATTTATGGTGATGTTCAGATTCATCACTTTCGGACTAATTTGTTTGATATTTATAAACATTTTTTAAGAATTTCAATAATTTTTAGAAAATAAAGTGGAAAACAATGTAAAATATGTATCGAGAACTGGTCATATCTACAAATCAATATTTTAACACTATATACTAGAAAACAACTCTATCATAAATAAATTAATGTTAAGATGTCTTAATAATCACTAATATACTTAACTTTATGTTGGCAGTCAATTCTAATACAATTTTTTTTTTAATCTAAATGTCAAAAGTAAATATAAGTTACTTTTTTCTTTTTCCATGAATCCACCTAAGAAACTTGTCACCAAAACTTGACATCTCAACTATCATTATAAAATTTATGAAAAATTTCATCCTAGCTCTTAGTATTTAACATAAAAAATTTAGCAAACCATTTAGTAGTTCATATGTTTATTTTTAATTAAAATTCTCTTATTTTTTGATAAATCATTATCTATGGATATTCTCTATTATCTAATATTTAAATCTAAAATATAAAATTTTCATACCAATGTGAATTAAATGAAAACGAAATTCATTAGATTTCCAATCATTTTGATATATCAACATAAATTTACATGAAAATGGAAAGTTATTTTTAATTTTATAACATTTATGCAAACTAAAATTTTGTTTTAGTATATTTCACTAAAGTTAATAATTTGATTATAGTATTATATCATTATTTTCTTTGTGATGATGGTTCATCATTTATATATTAATTTGGACATCACCGTAAATACAAAACATGAGTGGATATTTTGATAATATTTGTGTCATTAACTACAAAATAACTCATTAAATTTTTTTACTAAGATAATTTATCATCACTATGAATAGTAAATTTTTTCTTTTCTTTTCCATGAATCTACCTAAGAAATTTGTCACCAAAAATTGACATCTCAACTCTCATTTTAAACTTTATGAAAATTTTCATCTTCTTTGTATTTAATATAATTTTTAACAAACATTTAGTAATTAATATATTTATTTTTAATTAAGACTCCCTTTTTGATGATAAATTATTATCTGCAGATATAATATATTATGTAATATTTAAATCTAAAATTTTCATATAAATGACTATAAAATGATATGAAATATCATTCTATCTTCAATCATTTAGATATATAAATTTATATGAAAATAGAAAATTATTTTTAATTTTCTAATTAACCTACAAACTAAAACTCTGTTTTAATATATTTCATTACAATATAATAATTTTCATATAATATTATATATATATATATATATATTAGTATTTTCTTTTTGATTATGGTTGATCATTTATATACTAATTTGGACATCACATTAAGTTACAAAACATGGCTGGAATCTAGTAATATTTGTGTCATTAACTACAACATAACACGTTAAAATATTTTATTAAGATGATTTATTATCACTATTAATAGTGGAATTTCTTTCCTTTCCATGAATCTACCTAAGAAATTTGTCACCAAAAAATTGACATCTCAACTATCTTTTATAAACTTTATGAAATTTTTCATCTTCTTAGTATTTAACAAAATAATTTAACAAACCATTTAGTAGTTCATATATTTATTTTCTAACTAAAACTCTCTTTTTGATGATAAATTATTATCTGGGAATATGCTATATCATCTAATACTTAAATTTAAAATCTTAAATTTTTATACAAATGCGAATAAAATAATTATGAAATATCGTTATATTCAATCATTTAGATATATCAAACTAAATTACATGAAAATGGAATGTTATTTTTAATTTTCTAACCTACAAACTAAATTCTTTTTAGCATATTTCAGTAAGATATAATAATTTAATTATAATATTATATACATATATATTAATAATTTTGTTTTGATGGTGATTCATCATTTATATATTAATTTGGGCATCGACACAATTAGATTTTGATAATATTTGTATCGTTAATGATAATATAACGTATCAAAATATTTTATTAAGATAATTTATTATCATTATTACTCCTTTTTATTTATAATATAAAATTTATACATAAAACCACAAATTGCTTTTTAAAATATACCTTTTTTAAGAAAATCATTAAAACAAGAAATCAAAACTAATTCAAATGATCATAAAAATGTTTTAGAATATTTCATTCCAGGTCTTCTGTCCAATTTTTTTTTAACTCTTATCTTTTTGAATGCCTTAAAAAATCATTCATATGGATATTACATAATTCTTTTTTAAAAAAAAATTGAAGTAAAAGTATAAATAGTTTTAGCTAAATAAAAGATTCCATTTATCAGTTTTTCATAGGTAATACATGAACTAATAACAATATAAAAGATTATTTGTTATTTTGTAGCGCAAAGGAAAATTTTATTTAAACATATTATAGTTAAAAAATTTGGATATTAATTATAATCACATTTTTTATATTTTCATATTTACAAAATTTAAAATTTTATTTAAAATGCAGTCATTGAATGAATGTTACTTAATCAGATTACTATTTTGAGATTTTTCTATTTTTAATTTTTAATTTATTACTAAAACAAAATAAGAATACCTAATTAAAGTACTGTTAAAAAACAACAATGGTATTTTTTTTTAAATCATTAAAAATCATATATTTAATAAAATCATTGTACTAAAACCACATACAAAATGTAACCAAATAAAAATAAAATTGTTACCAATTATACTGTAAAAACTAACAGTAATATTTGTTTAACATTTTATAAAAAATTTTTTGATAAAATTGCTAAATATATATTTAAATAGTAACGATCAATATTAGTTTGGTATGCTATCTAGTTGTTTTTATAAAACAAATTTTACATTGACTCAATTTTTCATTTATCTAAAATCAATGTATAAAAATCATATTCAAAATGTAATCAAATAAAAATAAAATAGTCACCAATTATATTGTAAAAACTAACAGTAATAGTTGTTTATGTTTTCAAAAAAATTGTTTGATGAAAGTTTTGCTAAGTATGTTTTTAAATAGTAACGACCTATATTAAGTTGGGTATTCTAATTTTATAAAACAAATTTTACATTGATTCACTTTAGCATTTATCTAAATCAACATTTTTATAAAAAATGTGTAGAAGAAGGGAAAAAAACTAGATAGTCAAAAACAAATATATAAATAAGAAATATCTACTTTTATCTATTAAATTTTAAACGTAGTTCCAAATAGTTTTATTTTATTTACTTTTACAAAAAGAATATTAACACATTATAATGAAAAATAATAATGATATTAGTTTAAAAAACTCTTTATTAGTTAGACAAGAATGTTATTTCAAATAAGATAATAAAAACTACTTTAAATGAAAACACTCTAAATACTTTTACATGTATATTAAAATTAAGATATTTTTAGTTGCTCATACGTTACGGTGAGTTTTACCTTAGTTGTAAACTTGTAAATTGTAATTATAATGTAGTATCTGACTTGGTTACAACTTACAAAAGAAAGAGGAAACAAGGGGAAAATGCTAAAAGAAGCTTTGGTCAGATTAGTGTAACCTATATAGGCCATGCACAGGCCGTTTCACACTTCTTTTTCATCCACAGTAACGACACGTGTCGTATCTTGGTCTCAGCTGTTACCCACGATCTCTTTGGTTAGTCCTGCCACGTGACATCATTCCTGCCGTCAGTTACGAGGATCACTCCTGGCACGTGGATGATCCTCGTCGGTAACCTAGTTTCTACTGGTGGTTACTCTTACACCAACTACCAGTAATCTACTAGTAAAAGATCTTCGTCATGGATAACATGCAACTCTTGGTTCGTTAACATGTAACTTGTCTAAACTATGAATACAATATATACATATTACTACAACTGCAAGTCTTCCTTTCATTACAACACAGAAGACAACTCTTATACATATCGAAACAGATGCCACAACCATCTAGACTATATCACATGAATGTATGTATATATAATGACCCTGGTGAACACCAAAAGAAAAGTGTATTGGGAGTTATCTATAAATCTTCAAATGGCACTGTGGTTTTTTTTAACTTTATATGTAAATATATGACTGATCCATAACATATTCTAAAAAAACAAACTGCATACTTTTTTTTTAAAATTCAAAACGATATAAAATTTCATATAAAGGACTGAAGCAAAAAAGAACAGTTTATAGATAAGTATAAAAATTACAGGGAGATCAATGTTCTTATTAAAAGTTCTCATTCTCA